CTAAACGTTAAGTTGGAGAGGTCTCGTCTAATGAAGTCAACGCTCCATCCCCCTCGTGCTCTGTTCCAAAGTCCTGAAACCTTTCAGCTCGAGTTACAAAACCGTTTTCAGTGCCTAGAAGACTGCAATGAAGTGGACGATATGAATGATAAGCTCGTGGAAACTGTCCATGCGGTCGGAGCTAAGTTCTGCAATACCCGCCGCAGAAGAAGACAAAAACTCTCCGATCACACTCTTAATCTCATGGCTGTTAGACGGGAGATGAAGCTACATTCTTCAACAGATTTGACAACATACAGGCAACTGAACAGACAGATCTCCAAATGCATGCGGCGGGACTTACGCAACTTCAATACAGCTTGTATTGAAGAAGCGATCGAGCGGAACCAAGGCTCCAAAGTCTTTGCCAGAGATCTGTCTGCCAGAAAGAGCCAACTATCAAAGCTGAAGACCAAGTGTGGCATTATTGTTTCCGGGGCACCTGAGATTTTGAGTGAGATTGAGAGGTTCTATGGACAGCTGTACATGTCATCGTTGGAGCCACACGCAAGTGTGAGTAACGATCCAAGAGCGAGTCTTATCCGACACTATTCCGAAGATATCCCGGACGTCAGTCTGAGCGAGATTAGAATGGCTCTCCAGGATCTTAAAAACGGCAAGGCCCCAGGCGAGGATGGAATTACAGCGGAGCTTCTGAAAGCGGGTGGAAAACCGGTACTGGAAGTCCTTCAGAGGCTCATTACTTCCGTCCTCCATAATGGCATTACACCGGAGGCGTGGAGCAGAAGTGCGGTGGTCTTGTTCTTCAAGAAAGGTGACAACGCTCTCTTGAAGAACTACAGACCGGTTTCCCTTCTGAGCCGCGTCTACGTGCTGTTTTCGAGAGTCATTACGAATCGTCTCGCGCGCAGAATTGACGACTTCCAGCCACCCGAACAAGCCGATTTCCGAAAGGGCTTTAGCACCATATACCACATACATACCCTTCGGCAAGTTGTACAGAAGTCCGAGGAGTACAATTTGCCACTATGCCTGGCGTATGTGGACTATGAGAAAGCCTTTGATTCCGTCGAAATTTGGGCGGTGCTGCAGTCCCTTCAGCGGTGCCAAGTTGACTGTCGGTATATCGAAGTGCTGAAGTGCTTGTACAGTAGGGCTACGATGGCTATCCGAGTACAGAACCAGAGTACGAAACCAACTGCAGAGAGGTGTAAGACAGAGTGACGTTTTATCCCCGAAACTTTTCACCGCTGCATTGGAAAACGTTTTCAAGCTTCTGGACTGGAAAGGATACGGTATTAACATCAATGGCGAGTACATCACTCACCTTCGATTTGCCGACGATATAGTCCTTATGGCAGAATCGCTGGAGGACCTAAGCACTATGCTCAATGACCTCAATAGTGTCTCCCAACGGATAGGTCTTAAGATGAACATGGACAAAACAAAGATTATGTTTAATGTCCATGTTACTACACCTATGCCGGTAGTTGTTGGGAGCACCAAGCTCGAAGTTGTTGACGAGTATGTTTACCTGGGACAAATAGTCCGACTAGGTATGTCCAACTTCGACCGAGAGGTCAATCAACGGATTCTACTCGGCTGGGCAGCGTTCGGGAAATTATAGCACATCTTCTCGTCAGTTATGCCTCAAAACTTGAATACGAGACTGTACAACCAGTGCGTGTTGCCAGTGATGACTTACGGATCTGAGACGTGGTCCTTCACTGCTGGCCGTATGAGGAAGCTCAAGGTCGCTCAGCGAGCTATGGAGAGGGCTATGCTCCGAGTTTCTCTGCGTGATAAACTTAGAAATGAGGATATCCGCAGTAGAACCAGAGTAACCGACATAGCCCAACGGATTAGTAAGCTGAAGTGGCAGTGGGCCGGCCATATAGCTCGAAGAACCGACAACCGATGGGGAAGAAAGGTTCTTGAGTGGCAGCCTCGTACCGGTAGGCGAAGTGTAGGGCGACCCCCCACGAGATGGAGTGATGACCTGGTAAGACATGCAGGAAGTTGATGGATACAGGTGGCTCAGGACCGTGCTTTGTGGTATTCCTTGGGGGAGGCCTATGTTCAACAGTGGACTTATGAAAGGCTATAATGATGATACAAATAATTGTTCCGTGCGGGATTCGAACCCGCGGCTCCCAGCGCAGCAACGCATTGCTAAGCTACTACCTACGCCACGTAGTCCTCATTTTTTTTTCCATTTCTTTTTGATCACCCTTTTCTTATACACATTCACATTGTAGTGGTATACCATGAATAAATAAACCGCAGCAGCCGTTAGCGCCTCAATAATCATTTTAATAAATTCGTCCGTACATTTGCCTGAACCGAAGCAAACTGAACGACATTCGAACGTGTGGACGCGATCACAAATTCTTGACCAATATCTTTGCCAATACATTCACCACTATGTTGCCCAACCTGAAGATCCGCCATTACTGACATAATAAAGAACGTTCAATATGTCATAATAACAATATTCTTTATTTCAGGTCTGTACCTTTGGTTTGACCTATACGGCTAGCGCAACCGGCTCGCGAATGCATTCCTCAGTACGCTGTCGTTTTCTGTATAACGTTCGGAAAAGTTAATTAATAGAAAAAATCGATAATAAAACCAACGAAAGAACTGGAATTTCTGGGTATCAGTTGGAATACAGAACAGAATGTGATAGGGTTGCCAGACAAGAAAAAGAATTGCATTCTGAAGACAATCGGTCGAGTAAAGGCTTCGGGAACATGGAAGTGGACGATCAGTGCGTCTCTGCTGGGCCAGTTCAACTTTGCACCCCTGATCACTCCATTGAGTCGTTTATTCTCGCGAGAACTACAGAGAGACTGCACAAAGAAAAGCCAAAGAAAAACATGAATATAACGCTGGAGGCACTGCAGGATTGTGGATGGTAGCAGGAGAATATCAACTGCACCAATCAAATATTCGTGAACGATCCAGACATCTTATTGACAACGAATGCATCTGGACTGGGCTGGTATTTCCACCTGGACAATGTCACGGAACCAGGTCTTCGGGATCCAAAACAAATGAAATGGCATGTGAACCGCAAGGAACTATTCACGTTCTTAATTGCAATAAAGAAATTCAAGTACATATTGAAAAACAAGACAGTGTTGGTACAATCGGACAACAAGACAGTAGTGGCTTATAATTAGTAGTGGCTTTGCGAATATATTCGCAAACAAGGAGGAACTTGGTCTCAAACACTCGATGCTCTATTCAAACAACTTCTATTAATAACGCATCGTTTCCAGATTCAACTAATCTCTTTTTAAGATAATTGATAGAATCAGGCGTTACTTTGCGGAAATCCATTATAATGGAGTTGTTATAAACTAATTTGCTTAATTCCGCGTAAAGAAAGAAAATGATGTGTCCTGCCCAGTTTTAAGCGGACCTCCCACCCTCCCTCAATCGCGCGCACTATGCCCGTCGCCGTTAATCTCAGCTCTACCACCCCCAGCACCACCACACTAGGCACGACACACCACTCTCGAAATACGACACGTGTTTCGCCTCTACACGAGGCATCCTCAGGTAAAGTAGACTCTGTGGACTTAGCGGCCAGCCTCCGCTTTACCTGTCTGACCAATACAATTGCCTAGCAGACAGATTGTCCAGGGGATTACCTTTAACAGATTGGCACCTGAAGCCCAGCCTGACCAAACTGATCTTCAAGAAATAGGGAACTCCCCAGGTAGACTTGTTTCCCACAAACAGGTCCAAAGTGGTATAGGAGTGTGTGACGATAGAAGCCGAAGACCAGGAAGCATGCTTCATAAATGCTTTCAGCAGGCCGTGGTTAGTAGATCTGTCGTGAGTATTCCGGCCGCCGCCGTTGATTCTCAAATTCTTGCAATATCTAAATTCGTCTAAAGGTATTTTACTGGTAGTAGCGCCCAGGTGGTAGACCTTTTGGAGAGACGACCTGAAACCCAGGAGCACGACAGCGCCACTTCAGCAGTAGAATCTGGAGTAACACCTATTGGACATGACAACGGGACAGCCTCCGCAAAATGCAAAAGACCTTAGTCAATTAATTTCGGGCCTAGCAGATCATGACGTCAATCTCTTATCTTCAGCGTGGAGAGAGTACACGTGTAAGACGTTTTCTTCTGCCTGGAAACAGTGGTTGCATTGGTGTAAAGAAAATAACGTCATACCAAGTAATAGAACGCCGAAGAATTTGACAACCCACTTTGAATAGGGTAAAAAAGCTGGCCCATAAGACGATTCTAGTCAGAAAATCGGTAATCAGTACATTCGTTAATTCAGAATGAGACGGAACGCTGTGCTCTCGTCCACTGGTAAAGTCCATGCTAAAAGCAATTGGCAGCGCAGCGTAGCGAAAGCAACATCCTCAAGTAAGAAAGTATGGAATATTGAGTCAATAAATGAGAATATAAAATGGAATAAAACAAACACGATAATGATGGTACTGATATAACTTTATTATACATATTTGAATATGAATTTTGAAAATGCAGATCTAAATAATTTTAATAATATTATTAAACACCATTAATTTGCTCGAATACAATAAGCACATCGTGTAATGTTTAATTTTGACCGACTTCAAAAAAGGAGGAGGTTATCAATTCCCTTTCCCCAAAATCTGCCCTTTTTTAATTGTAATATTTTTATTTTAATAAATGGACTCTACTAACGAGACTGTATAATTTGGCTGCGGGACAACAACCATTAAAATTTCAGCATGTATATACGAATTGATCTAGAATCGTCTTAGAAATCAGTGTACATACTGTAGTATATTGTGGGTAGACGGATATTTTGTGTGGATACTGTACCTTCATAAAAATAATAAAATCAGTGTTGAACCAGCTAGCGTTTATTTTATTACATGGTGGCAGCGGTGTTGAAAATAAATTACATAGTCAATGTAAAAGTAACATTGTTGATAAGGGTACTTATTTTTGATGCAAATTGTGTACTTTGTGTAAAAGTAAGTGATGGAACACGCGCGACCTCCCGTAGAATTAGTGCTCGAAGGCGGCCCCGCTGCTCGAGCAGACTCATGGCGCAAGTGGCGGAAACAATTTGAGGTGTTTCTTAAAGCCTCCGGAGTGGCTAACGAGGAAAGTTCAGTGCAGGCTAGTTTACTGGTCAACCTCATTGGGTCGGCGGGTTACGAAATCTATTCGACCTTCACGTACCTCAAGGACGAAACTGAAGACGATATTAAGTGTTTGTTGAAAAAGTTTGATAAGTATTTTGGGACAAAACCTAATGTCACGTTATCGCGGTTTAAGTTTTTTACACGAGGCCAAGAGGAAGGCGAAAATATAGATCAATATGTTACTGCATTAAAATTGCTAAGTCAATCTTGTGAGTTTGGTAATCTAAATGAAAGCTTAATACGGGACAGAATTGTCTACGGTATCATAAGTAACATTGTACGTGATCGGCTACTTCGTACGGATGATTTAACATTAGAAAAGGCGGTCCAGATATGTCAAGTGGCAGAAATATCGAAGGAGGAAAGTTCATGCATCGAGAATAGTCCTGGCGGTAGTGAAATGCGAGTTGATGCTGTAAGGGATGCAAGCGGTCGCAGCTACGGCGGTGTACGACGCAGCCGTGGAGGGTCGCGCGGAGCGAGGCGCGGCGGGCGTGGTCGCGGACCGGTGTTCGGTGCCGGGTCGGCAGCTTCGCGAACACGCTGCTTGTCATGTGGCAATGGTTGGTGCTCCACCGACGACCGGTGTCCGGCGCGGGATGCATTGTGTTATGTGTGTGATAAAAAAGGGCATTTCGCTAAAGTGTGTGTGCATAAATATACATTACGCGATAAGGTTTTAAACTTGAATGTGTGTGAGCCCGAAAACATGTCAGATGCCGAAATGTTCTATGTGGACATGATATTAAGCCAGGATAAAAAATGTAAGTTACCTAAAGAATGGAATGTTATTTTTCAATGTAATGGTAGACAAGTGCAATTTAAACTAGATACAGGTTCTATGTTGAATGTAATTTCGAAAAATGATTATTTAAACTTAGGCATGTCGATTCATAACCTAAAATATTTTAACAAATGTGTACAATCTTTTACTGGTAATAATTTACCTATTCTGGGCATGTACGAATTACCATTTATTTATAAAAGTAAACATTACATTTTACCATTTGTGGTAGCAGATTTAAACTGTCAAAATGTTCTGGGATTGGAAGGCTGTGTCATGTTAGGACTCGTATCCCGTGTTGACGGTATAAATATACATAAATATTCTGATCTCTTCGAAGGACTGGGTAAGTTACCTGGACAGTATTCTATTGTCGTAGATAAAAATGTACAGCCAGTGATTTGCCCTACTAGGAAAATACCACTGGGGATGAAAGACAAACTCTTAGCAGAGTTACGTAGGATGGAAAAATTAGGCGTTATCAGGAAAGTTACTCATCCTACGGAATGGGTTAACGCTATTGTGCTAGTAGCAAAAAAGAATGGTGATATTCGTGTGTGTTTGGACCCGAGACCGCTTAACCGCGCGGTGCGGCGCGCGCATTACTCGCTGCCCACGGTGAGCGAGCTGGCAGCGCGGCTGCGCGGTGCTACGTATTTCAGCGTGCTGGATGCGCGCTCTGGTTTTTGGATGGTTCAAATTGATCCTGCCAGCGCAGATCTTTGTACATTTGGAACACCGTTTGGTCGTTACCAGTTTCTAAGGCTACCGTATGGAGTAAATTGTGCTCCAGAAGTATTTCATGCAAAGTTAAGACAATATCTGGAAGATTTGGAGGGTGTTGACTCTTTTATTGATGATGTAATAGTATGGGGGAATACTAAAGAACAACATGACTTCAGGCTAAAATGTTTACTGAATAGGGCTAGAGAAATTGGTATAAAATTTAATAAGGAGAAATGTAAGTTTGGAGTTCGAGAAATTGTTTATTTGGGTCATAAATTCGATAAGAATGGGATAAAACCAGACGAGTCTAAAGTTAAAGCTATTATGGGTATGCCGTATCCTACAGATCGTAAAGCATTGGAGAGATTTATGGGTATGGTGAATTATCTTTCCAAATTTATTCAAAACTATTCGGATAGTGTGTCCGTGCTTCGAAGTTTATTAAAAAAGAATTCTGAATGGCTGTGGGAGCCACATCATTCAGATGCTATAGACAGTCTTAAAAATAAAATTTCATCTGCACCAGTGTTAGCACTTTACTCGACGGAGCTACCGGTGGTGGTGTCGGTAGACGCGAGTGCTAGAGCGCTGGGAGCGGTGCTGCTGCAGGCCGGCCGTCCAGTGGAGTTTGCTTCGTTAACGCTCACCGACACTCAGACCCGGTACGCACAAATTGAAAAAGAGATGCTGGCAATAGTGTTTGCGGCAGAAAGGTTTAAACAGTACATTTATGGCAGGTCAGATGTTACCGTACAAACTGATCACAAGCCCTTGGAGGCATTGTTCAATAAAGCGTTGTCATCTGTACCGATACGACTACAACGCATGATGATGAGGATACAGGGATACGATTTCAAGGTGGTGTATACTCCGGGCAAATATATGTATATTGCCGATACGTTATCGAGGGCTCCTCTGCCGGAGTTTATGCACGATCGAGTGTCTGAGGATGTTGAGACGCAAACATGTTTTATGATAGAATGTATGCCGTTTAGTAGAGAAAAAATAGATAGAGTTCGAAAGGCGACAGAGGTTGATGAGGAATGTCAGTTATTAATTAAGTACATATTAAACGGCTGGCCAAAAAATGAGCATAATGTTCATAAAAACGTTAGAAAGTTTTGGTCATATTGTGGAGAACTCCAATATGTGAATGGGTTAATATTAAAAAATTATTGTATATTTATTCCGCAAAGTTTACGAGCCGAAATGATTGTAAAAGTACACGAAGGTCACCTAGGCATAGAGAGGTGTAAGAGGCGCGCGCGTGATGTAATGTTCTGGCCAGGGCTGTCAGCGGACGTGGAGCGCGCCGTGCGCCGCTGCGAGTCGTGTGCTCTGCATGCACGGGCTCCCGCGCGGGAACCACTACTTCAACATATCGTACCCAATGCACCTTGGCAAAAACTTGCCTCAGATATTTTTGAGTATAAAAAGAAATACTATGTCATATTAGTAGACTATTTTTCTAATTATGTTGAAGTTCAAGAAGTAAATAGTATAAACAGTAGAACAATTATTCACTTTATGAAGGAACAATTTTCGAGGCATGGCATCCCTAGCGAGCTTGTTACTGATAATGGGCCGGCGTATAGTTCACAAGAATTTAAAAAATTTCTTAGGTTATGGGAGGTTAAGCATATGACTTCATCACCTCATTACCCCCAGTCAAATGGGAAAAGTGAGCGCACAGTGCAAACTATAAAAAATCTACTCAAAAAATGCATCGATTCTGGGGATGATTTCTTTATAAGTTTATTGAACTATAGGAGTACGCCTAGGTATGGAATGGATTCTCCGGCACAAATTCTGATGGGAAGACGTTTGTGTACGAAGCTACCGATTAGTGATTTTCTATTAAATGAAACGATTGATAGAAATAGAAATTATAAAATGTTAATGCAACAAAGAAAATATAATAAATTACAGTATGATAAGTCGGCCAAGCCGTTGCGGACTTTATTACCAGGAAATAAAGCAATTTTAGTTGATAACGGAAATAGGAAACCCGTTTCTATTATTAGACCGTCGCAGGAACCACGTTCGTTCATAGTACAGGATTCGCGCGGACGCCGATTGAGGCGCAATCGCCGTCACTTGATAGTACGATATGCAGACAGCGATGAAACGCGTCCCGCCGCCTGCGCTCCGAGTGCAAGTAACGCTAAGTCAGCTGAGTTAACGGCCAAGGCTGTAGCTTCAAACCCAGAACAGTTTGACCCTTTGTATTCGACAGATAGTAAAACGGATACGGTAGGTCATAGCCCATGCATTAATCCTCCAATAACTAGGTCAAAAACACGACTTATGGCTAAGATGAAATATGCGATGAAAGAAAAAATATAATAGTTGTTTTGTATAAAAGTTATTTGCAAACTAATATACATATTCATATTAAGTGTATATTTTTAAGGCTCTGTATTCTGTAGATGTTGACTTATTTTCGTTTATTTTTAGGTTTACTATTGTTTTGTAATTTCATTTAATAATTATAAAACTAAATCATAAAGGTTTGTCCCCCCCAGCAGAGCCCCGCATGCCAGGGTAAGGCTAGCCTAATTCTGGGGTCGCCCGGTCCCAGGGCAGTGTGGCACGCTAACGACTAGGCTCGCCCCTAGCCATGCATCCATCCGCGCGGCAGACGTTGGATTGGCGGAGGGTAGGAATAGGAAAAGGGGAAGGATAGGTGGTGTGAAAAGGAAGAGTAAAGTAAGTTAGGGTAGGAAATAGGAAATGTAGGATATTACCGTCCAGGAGGGCACGGGATAGGACAGTAATAGCTAGGGAAGCCGGGGTCGCATACCCGTATACCATACCACAACTACCGGACAGGTAAATTGGGATGAGTATCCCTCGACTAAAAAAAGAAAAAAAAGGCCAGGTCAAGAGTACCCTAAACCGTAGAGCATGTATGAAGGGAATAATGAAAGTGGACGAAGCAAAACAAGTATGTAAGGATCGTAGCAAGTGGAAAGAACTGGTCTCTGCCTACCCCTACGGGAAAGAGGCGTGATTATATGTATGTATGTAAATCATAAAACATAGAAGTGATTTATATTATGACATATTATATAGAAATATGTTCATATTACGCCTGGGTGGCTTCGTTATTATGATATTTATATTAATTTTGTATGAGTTTGTATTTGGTATACGGTTCATTTCTACAGTTAGCGTTATCTTTCAGTTGTTTTCATTATATAGTTTTTTTTTTTGTTATAAATCTTTTGTACTTCAGTGTTCATTATAAAAGGGGAAGGATGTAGTATATTGTGGGTAGACGGATATTTTTTGTGGATACTGTACCTTCATAAAAATAATAAAATCAGTGTTGAACCAGCTAGCGTTTATTTTATTACACATACATATTGATAACCTCTCCTTTTTGCAAGTCGGTTTAACATCTGGTTAGTAAAGGCGTTCTTATTAATAATCCCTTGATGTTGTAAATAAAAAAGTTTTTATTCTATACTCTAAAACGTCAACTTAGTCAATAAACAAAGCAATTAAAATAAAATAATTGTTTTAAAATGGCGTCGACGAATCACGATTAGCTGATCACTCCGTATTAGTTTTAAGTAGGCACTCATTGTTAATATATAAACATTTGAGTTTTACACAGAGCGTCGCGATTAAACGTTATAAACACAAATACAAAATAAATATTTTTAAAAGACAATTGTAATTTTTTCCAAACAACTAGCAACATTTGTATCATGATAGCTTAGGCAAGTATTTTTTTTTAGTTTTACGTATTTATAATGAATTAAATATATGAACTTATATGTGAAATGTAATATCATCACTTCTTTTATGTTTATCATTAATGTTGTGACAATATTTAACAACACAAACGGTAATTTTTACAATTTTTCGCGAGCTCTTCTCCGTAAGACGTGACGTTGAGCACTAACCAGGGGGGGTACACTTTCATACTATAGGTAGGGATCCAATAATCTGTAAAGACACTAGTGCCATCTTATACGATATCCGCATAAACTTTCGAACATCAAATTCTAAAAGGTGCGCTAGATGGCGATGACACCAATTCTGGTTATTGGGTATGGAGGTTAATGGAATTCTCTATAGTTGTATCATAAATATAAAAGATTAATAATTATACGGACATTCAAAAGCCTCTTTAAAAATATATTGAATAAAAATATTTATTTTGTCGGTCTGAGATGCAATAAGTTTCTCGTTTTGGCAAGTGGCAACTTTATTACTTTATCACATAATGGCTAAGTTTTGGCGGGAAATTGACCGGCGGCGGTTTGCTGCTCCTGTATTATTGTTTAAATAATGGTTTGAAGTGGACTTTGATATGTAAAAGTGTTGCGATTTTGTGTATTAAGTGTCTACGCATGTGAACTATTAGTGGAAACAGTGAAACAAGTGCTCTGATGGTGATGGATTCTCAAGATAAGCTGTTTGTTTGCATAGGCACCTTTAGATACCATCGCCAACTATCAGCTGTCTGCTGGATCAAGTTGCCGCCAAAATCTCCCAAGAACTGCACAATGTGACGCATCAACATATTGTGAAGCAGTATACTATGAAGGAGTGGGGAAATTACAATAAACCGAATAATAATACTTAAGATTTGGCCTAAAGGTCTAGATACCAGGCCATAAACTCAAAAAAAAAAAAAAAAAACATAATGGCCATAGACTAATATATAATACTGGAGATAGACTGGCAACTGAAGTTTTCATATTTAGTTACCGTTCAGCGCCCTCTGAACGCCAAGCAATGAACTAAATATATATATATATATATGTAGTTGCGTATATGGCAATATGTATAGGTACTTACGTATGAATTGCTGTTTTATTTATAGATAGAATATTTTATCTATAAATAAAACGGCAATTCATACGTAAGTACCTATACATATTATTTATATGTCGTTTTAGATACTTAAACAGTGTTTTGAAGTAAGCATATTTTTAGGGATGTTTTTAGACACAAATTTAAGTATCTTTGGGTATTCGGGTAAAGGTAATGAGATAAATAATACAAAAATATATAATTCAATGAATTTATTAATTATACATTAATACATTAATTTCGACGCCTTTTTGTCTCTCGTTTCGCACCCTTTGTTTTATTGTAATGTTCTCAAGCCCGTAGGAAAAATGGAGACATTTTCACCACTATCATTACATAAATTATAATAGCTCTTGCTATTAAGTATATTGCTGACTTCTTTGCACCAAGTAATTATGAAGAACACAACACTTTTATGGACCAAATATTTCTTTAAATTTTCTTAATGTTTTTCACATTTCATAAAATTTAAGTCGATGTGGACTGATATAAACAGCATGATATATTTAACAATGTTTTCTACATGTGCATATCTATTTAAAATATTCCATGTTATGTGTTCTACTGGTGCAAAAAAGTCAAACAATGACCGGGTAGGATAGCATAACCATCTTTTGCCACAATATTCTTTTTTATTATAAAATTGTGGAAATCTGCATTATTTGATTATGTTAAATTATTTTGACATGTTTTACATTTTTTTAAATATAAACTTTTTTGTTTTGATTGCTATCCACCCACTACAATAAGCTATGGCCGCGCATTTCTCTACATGAACTTTGGTACGGCTTTCTAGAATTTGTTGTGTATTTATTAAATCAATATTTAAATGTTCATTGATAATTTCTGCCCTTAACTTATTTGTTATTAATTTAAAACCTTCTATAGTGTTTACCCAACTGGTTAGAAATGGTACAGTTACCTCTTTACTATTATTATTTATATACTTCATTGACCTTAAAATGGGTAATGTTTTCTTCCATAATTTTAAATGGGATGAGTTTGGTGTGACAGCAGATCTGCATATTTTACCTTCTTCTTTATGTTAATTTGAGTCGAACAGGTTGTTGAACAGCATTATCAAATGTGCAGTGTCCACACTTTCCTCTGGCAAGCACCCACTTTCTAGAAATTATAATTATATGTTAAATATATATAAGTATTAAATAATTGTATTTGCTTTTTTTATTGGGGCATCCTGAACTACTGGAGAATGTTGAGAGACATTTCACACCAAGTGTACATTATGTGTCACATAAAACATGCATCATACAAATTATTTTTCGCCTACTGATATTGATTATAATAATTCATTACTGTCCCACTGCTAGGCACAGGCCTCTCAGAAGTAGAAGGATTAAGCCTTAGTCCACATGCTGCCCTGATGTGGTTTAGCGGACTACACTCACATTGAGAACTTTATGAGGCCCTCTCAGGTGTGGAGGTTTTCTCCCAATGTTTTCCAGCACTGTTAACGCAAGAATAGAACAGAATAGAATAATTTTTTATTCAATATATATTACATGTGTAATTCTTATTGAAAGTCATTTTTTACTTTACCACTGGTTCGAAAAAAAAACCCTCTGTCCTGGGAAGAACCAGCAAGAAACCCAGCGGGACTTTTTTTTTAAAATAAATTTTACAATATAAATGATTACGAACTATTTACAAAATTTATTTTAGAAACTGCTTGGAAGCGACCACCTCATTCCCAGGGGTTATTATCAACCATGTATTCGTTTATACTATAATAACCCTTTTTATACAGTTTCAGTTTAATAAAACATTTAAACTTGGTAACAGAGAGAACCTGTACACTTTCTGGGACCTTGTTGTAATAGCGTATACATTGCCCCAAGAATGAATTACTGACTCTGTGGAGTCGAGAAATTGGCATCACTAGCTTGGTGTTTATTCCTAGTGTTTACAGAATGTATATCACTTTTTTTTTACTAAAACTATCTTTGTTTTTGTGAACATACATTAAATTTTCGTAGATACTGAGAGGCCAAAGTTAATATATTTATTTCTTTAAATTTATCTCTAAGAGACTCTCGCGGTTTGAGATTGTAAATAGCTGTAATGACCCCCTTCTCTCTTTAGACAAGTAATCAATAATCAAATTCTGTTCCTCACATAACCTACATGAAAGTGTTTGACCGCTGGGCTATAATGCCATTTTATTTTTATAAAGAAAATGTAGGTACTAAATTTTATTGAAACTCAATTCAAATTAATGTTTAATGATTATGACCTACATTACTCCCGGGTTGCCTAACAAAAATATGTCCCACATACCTTTCATTAAATATATTGTAATTAAAACAAATTGCAAAAACATATTATATTGTTTTTGGTTAATTCACTTAATTCATTAGTTTCACACAGGTTATAAATGAATGTACAATAAATATATGTTTTATTGTACATTCATTTATAACCTGTGTGAAACTAACACAGTTGCTAGTATTAAATAAACTTAATCAAAAACTGATTTACCTGATACACCTGCAGAG